TGTGACCTAGGTTGAGGCAGCGGGTAGGGGGTGTTTGGGTTAATGCCAGTTATATATGTTCTGGGGTAGTTGAAAGCTGTGTAGTCGTGTAGTATTGAACACGCGGCATCGGCGCTGATGTAATTGGTGGAAAAACAATGTGACACCTTTCCGACGTAGAAGAGTCCGAGAAAGTATAAAATAAAAGGTCGGGTATATGAGCACGGAAACTTAAACATGACCCCTTCAGCATAGTCAACCGCAACTGTTTGCTTAACGGAAGGACGAATTAAGGGGACTGTTATTGATATGACATTGTGCAGGGAAGTGGCTTGACAAGTTTTTCCTCTAGCTGTGCTCAGCCTGGTGTCTCTTTCCCTCTCCCCAGTGTGACGCGCCCCGCTTGATGGAGCTCATTCCTAAAGCAACTTAGAGACAATAGTCCTAACGCAGAAAGCATAACACAATTAGCAAGCAAATGCGCAGGCTTCGTTGTTTCAACCGCTCTTCTTCTTAGTTTGCATCGGTTGTAAACTCCGGGCGACAGTTCTGGTTGTTCGTCCACTTCTAGACTTGTTCCATAACATGTGTTTGGCGTGCACATTTACTTTACGGATCTGCTTATTTGTATTATTACTACTTGTTCCTCGTCCCTTGGGCAGGTGTGCTCCGACTTCGGAAAAAGCATCTCAAATTAATAGTCTTTTACCAATAGCTTTATATCAGCGGTTTTCAACCTGTGGGCTGCGACCCCTTTGTGGGTTGAACGATCATTTCACAAGCGTCGCCAAAGACCACCAGAAAGCACATATTCACCTAACTCTTTGAGACCCAAGGAACACATCATACGTTCATAGGTTCCTCCCTAGAAGCCCAATGAACGCATGATGCGCCGATTTTATTACTTTCTTTACTACCCCCTGGGCCTGTGATTCTAAACCGCCTGGGGCTCAAAGAGTTAAGGTATAAAGTAGCAAGGAAAATAATTTTATGGTTGGGGGTCACCCAAACATAATGTGACGAGCTGGTCTGGACAGCTGTTTCTGTCCTTTTAAAAAGTGCTTTGTTTAGATAATATTATTACCAAAGTTCTAAACATTTTCCTATTGCTTTTAATTAGCACAATAACACTGGATTAATTAAGAAATTTCCTTACCTTTTTCTTAATGCTTTATTGTAGCAAAATTATAATTAAAGAGTTGAAAGGTAATATAGGCGAAGAGTAGGGCAAGGGGGACTGAAGAGTTACTTCCTCCTGACTTCCTGTTCCCTTTTCAATTCAGAAATTGACCGGTTCAGACCTAAAGTTGTTAGTCTGCCTGTGGTCCAATTTTCTGTTTGAATTCCCTGCCAGGGGTGAGTTAAAAGAATAAGTTTAATTTGATGTATTGCTGCTTATTCCTCTGAATTAATTCCACAGGTTAAATTCTGAAATTTAATGCCCACATGGCTCAAAAACTATGATAAATTTCTTTATCCTCACTAACCACATTTATGATCTAGTATGTACATGTATGCAAACATATTATCGATTTGATGATTGAATTAATGTTTATTTGCTACTAGAAACGTGCATTGGTATTTTCAATTATTATACTTATATTAATTAAGTGATAATTATGTCCTCATGTGAAATCTCGGCCAGTTCCGGTTTCCAGCATGGTGGGACAATTAAAAAGGAATGAAGTGTATATTCATTATACCTAATCCCTTCTAAGTTGATTTTACCTCATGGTGATATTAGCTTAATAAATCACTGTCTTGCTTTAATTTAGAGTTAGTCCAGATAATTCTGAGACTAGTTTAAGAGCTTGGAAAGTGAATAACACAGTGAGGCTGAATTTAATATTCACACTGTCAGAGAAGAAGAAGCAGAAAAGAGATGTATGGCCCCTGCTTGTAATTATTATTGTTGTAGATATATTTCCCTATTACTAGGAATACATTTCAGTTTTACAGCAGCTGGCCTTACAAATGTAATAATTATATTTCACCCCTCACCACTTCTAAACTCTGCTGAATAAGATTAGCACATGTGTGGATTTAGATTTAAACTGGAGTGAGTGTTGTATATTTTATGTTAATACTGTGACAGATGGAAAGCCCATTGTCATCTATGATTGTTTTTTGACATCTATCTCATCACCCAGTATATTGATAGAGATATGTCAATCCCATTTGTTTTCAAACAGTGCAAAGCACCTGTTATGAGTTCCTGGTCTTGGTAAACTCAATCCCTGTTTCTCATTCTTTGTGATGTGAACCCATGTGGTTAAAATGAGAATATTGTGAAATATGACTGTGTATGTCTGTGTGTGTAAGCATGTTAACCCTTTAAAGGAGTACTAGTGTGCAGACAGCAGAACAATTTACACTGAGGAATGTCCTTTCTTTTTGTGTGATGTAAATAAACTCTTGTTCTTGAGAGTATTCATGAAACTGGTTTCCTAAATATTTCCCCATCAGGATTATGGACCATGTTCTGTACACATTCCCATTCTATACCAGTAGAATGTGAACA